TTCCCTTTTTCAGAAGATACTTGGAGGCACAGCTACTTTGCACACTATGAAGTTGTAAATGTGTGATTTATTTTATAAAAACACTTCATCCTTTTTTATTATTTTTAATGGTAGCATTTTAAATACAAAATGAAGGTACTTGTGCACCAAAACTCTATGTTAACTAGCAACTTCTTGATTTTCTTTCTGCAACTCACTAGATAAAGGAAGAGAACACATTAGGGAAAAAAAGACAAAGAGGGAATCATGAAGGAAGAGCAAAAAATGAGGTGAAGAGTTAAGAGGAGAAAGTGAAAGAGATCAGGTGTGAGTCCATTTCCTCTGGGTTTTCCTGGCACCTGAATGCTGCAATGAGGGTGGCCAGGATTTGCTGAACAACACACCAGCCCAGAGGTGAATGCTGTGACCTGAAGGGGCAGTTGCTTTGTTCTTCTTGACACAAACAGGGTGAGAAGAACTCCAGGGGTCCCAGAGGAATGGAGGAAATCCTGTTCTGTGTATTCCTATCTTATTTTTAATGACAAAACTGTATTAATCAAGTGTATTATTTGTATATTATTATACATTTTACTCATATATCCACCATCTTAAATTTTTTAATACATGTAAATATAAGTGTATGTATAGAAAATGTATAGACAAATTGTATTGACTAGTCCTCACCAGGAGTGTCATGCTTAAAGAAGTATGATTCCTTAAAGGACTGCATGAACAGCAATCCCACCATGCTGCAAAATGTGAAAGAAGAATGTAGACCAGCAAAATCTGTTGTCACCCAAAGCCACTCAGTTAGGAGCAAGCTGCTGTTTTGCTGAGAAGCTGCAAGAGACACATTAGGGAGATGAGAGGTGCAAAGAAGTTCCCTGTTTTGAATGTTAACTTTCTGTTTTCTCCTTAGGGGATACAGCATTGGTGTGAGGCTGATTGATGACTTTTTAGCTCATTCAGCTGTGAAAAAGTGCCGCAGTTATTCTGAGACTGCAGACATGATTGCACAGGTAAATAAGATTTAAATTTTCTAGAGCTTCGTCAGATTGAATGGTCTTCCTCTATCAGTTTGCTCCAGCAGATTTACCTACATTTTCTGCTATATCATGGTTGTCTTATCAAAACCACAACACATCCATGCTTCCATTGGGCCAAATACAGCCTTTTCCTTATCTGCAACTTCATATCACATAACACAAAATGTGATACCACCTGGGAGAGTCTGCCAACTCCTGACCTAAACCAGCCTGAAAGTCAGTTGCTAAGCTGAAATTAAAATTCTTCTGTTTCTAGCAGCAGGTGTTCTGCCATTAGAATAACTAAAAAAAGGGTGGGTTTTTTTTGTTTTCTGCAGCTTAGGTTGGTTTCTTCACTCTTGCTAGAGAATGCAACAAACAACAAAAAATGATCCAGTTTTAACAAATTTCAAATTTTCTTTTCCTAGGAGCATAAGTCTTAACCATCTCATACAGATCTTAAATGTTGATATTTTTTCTCCTGCCATTTGAGTGTCCTCACCATCTCCATAATTATCTTCAATGGGTTTTAACTTTAAAATGGTAATATTAAGAATAATCTGCAGTGTTTTCTATAAAAGAAAATCGTAGTGATAGCAAATAAGAACTGTAAGAAAGGAAAATGAGAGGAACATTTTCCTGACTATCCACAAATCTAATAATAAATTAAAAAAAACCAGAGTGTGTATTTTCACCTTCTTTGATGGAAATCTCCATTTTATTGAGTAGCAGTTCACACTTATGTTGGACAAGAAAGATCTAGAAGGAAATTTAGTCATAATACATGGGTTTCTAAAAATGTACTTTTAGCCTCATGGGCAAGTCAGTATTCCTGGGGAAGCTCAAAGAGAAATTCATAGGATGACCAACCCCTTTAGACAGCTGAGTCACTGTAAAGGAAGTGCTAGTTCACAGATACTGAGTTAGTTCAGACTAACATCTGCCCAGGTCATGGTGAATGATTCCTTTTGTCCTTTATGGTTTTCAGCTATGAAGTCTTGCCAGTGAAGATCATAGAATCATCAAAATTGAAGGTGACCTTTAAGATCATCAAGTCCAACCATTAACCTGTCACTGGTGTAACCCATGAACCCTAAACCATATCCTCCAGCACCAGATCCAGATGTCTCTTAAACACCTCCAGGGATAGTGACTCCACTACCCCCCTGGGCAACCTATTCCAATGCCTGACCACCTAATAGTGGAAAAGCTTTTCCCAACACCCAATTGAAATCTCCCCAGTCCCATCCTATGACCATATGATATGGTGATACCATATGATACGTATATATGATTATATATATAAGTAATATATGATATTACAATATCATATGATGATATGGTAAGGTATGCCTGGCCTTTCCAAATAGCAAAAAGTAACCACACTTAGTAACAAAGAAGCTTGCAAGGTAGTAATTTATTCTAAGAGAAGAGATCATAGTTGAATTGAGGTTCAGTTCCATTGGCTCAATTTTGGAGACAAAATATGCCTGGCATACTTTTTGATTGCTTGAGAATTACCAGCAGCCTCAGCTAAATGTGAGCATTATGTAAGTGCTGACTGCAGAACTGGGAAGCTGCAGGCTTTCCATACAGTGAACTAAGGCACCAGCATGTACATTATACAGGAATATCTTAGTTCAAAGGGTGTGTGGATGTTATCAGATGATGTATGATCCTGCTCACAGTAACTGTGTCATAAATACCTACGTTACATCTAACTGACATGGAGGGACAGAAGTTACATTATCATTCCAAAATGCTTATCATAGAGGCACTGATGGCTGTCCCAGAAATAAAGGAACTCTTTTTTTGCTCTTTCTGGATATAAAGTGCACATGTGCACAACACACACATACACCATAGTCTGCCAAAGTTTAAAGCAGAAGCAGGTGACAGTACTAAAAGCCAGACAGATCCTATTCGTTCATGAAAGAGTGGAAACTAAATTTCTTACTTTAATTAAGTCTACTTTGGAGTCTCAAATCAGGATGATATAAAACAGAGCTCCTCCTGTGGCGCAGCTGAGCTGAGTTAGAGGGTCCATTGGCGATAATAAGGACAGCTGAATGAAAACCAAGAGACAAGCTGCATTTCAATTGCTGTTTTAAAACACACTCTTTAAAAGGATGATGCCAGGCTGCAAAATCACATTTTTGTTCACATCTATGTTCTTCAAGTGTATTTTCATGTATATACCTGATATCTGGGTTTCTGGGGTTTATTCCTCATTGTTCCCTTATTTACAAAAGGTTTAGTACAGGAAAACATAATTCTTAAGTGCAGGGGATTCAACAGCAAAATACGGTGACAAATTAACCATCAAAGTAAGGAAAAAGATACTATTTCTCTGCAGGTTGTACTTCAAAAGAGACTTACTAAGAGAAACAAAAAATCACTTGGAAAGATTGGAACAAACTTTAAATCACACACACTCTCTTGAAAGACTATTTTTAGCAAACTAAAAGAGTTCTGTTTGTAGGAGTATTACATAGCTGAGGCAAAATGTGATATGGAAAGCATTTTTACATTTCTTTGGCAAAACATTTTAAAATAGTCTTCAAGCACTTTTGTCTAAGGCACATACCAACAAAACTTATGTAAAATGACCCAGCAAGTAACTGCAAATGCAGTTAAAATGTTCGGTTCAGAATCACACAGCTGTTTACATGTTCTCTTTAACTCTTCAGCAATAGTGTTCTCACCCAGGAGAAAGTGCTTAAATACTTAACTGCACTAAGTCTTCTGAGGTATAAATCTGTTTGAGGATGAATAAAACTAGTTCAAAGTTAAAGTAATTAAGGCTGTTAAGCAGTTCAAGTAGTTAGAGCCAAAGACCTGTAAACATAGCTATTATCCTGCAGTCCCCAGGAAAACAAAGGAGAAGTAGTAAGATCAGGCTGTGGGTGTTCCCTGTGGAAATGGAAAGAGATGAAGCAAAGCAAAAGAACATAAAATGAGGACTACAAAGCCAGCTTCCCATATAAAGAAATAAATACTGGGGGGAAGGTGCACCTAAGGCAGTGACTGAGTGCTTAAAACTTCAACCACTGGTTCAGACTGCAAAGCCCTGGATTTACTGCTACCTTATACTGGACTGGAGAAGAGCCAACGAGTTTTGATGAGCCAGAGTGAGTCCTTCTACACTGAGTTCCCATGGTGCTCACTGACTTCTTATGTTGGTCCTGTGACTTGGCATGTTTACAGTTGGGATTGAATAAAAAAAAAGATAAAACAAGCCATATAAAAGTAGGCTGTCTGCTCACTGGTAAACTGGGGTAAGAAAATGGAAACCAATTGAGGAATAGTAGTAAGAACAAAACTCAGCTGAAGAAGGAATGCCCAAAACTGGATTCACAATTTGGATCTGAGTATAAGTGAGGATTACTTTAGAAATGAGGGTGATATTATCCTACTAAATCAAAATTTTACTTCAATTCTTCCTCAAAGGACATTGAAGTAAAAATATACAGCACTGAAGCTTTTTGTAGTGAAGTCCCTGGGGACAAGAAGGGATGGGGTAATCCAACCATGTCACCCCCAAGCTCAGAGTTGTGGGACAAGAGATGTGATTCCCCTTATCATGGGAGGTGCTGCTGCACAAGGTCCTTATATATTGACACGTGGCCGGTTTGAAAGTCTGACAGACTGGCAGAATTTATGAAGATGGTAAATGTTGTTTTTCAGTTCTCAGCAGTAAGAGGGAAATGCATACAGGAGGTTGCTGTGCTAAGCAGTAGACAGTAAACTGAAAAATGAAGAGTTGCACTGTAAAGAGTAAAGAAATGTTTGTAGGAAAAGTTTGGAATCAGCAACAGATGGCAGGACCTTTAAAGCATCTTGCTCCAAGCAAACACTGACTGGAAAAGTACTAAGAATGAAAAGTATGCTAGCAGAAATGTTATTTTGGCTGCCTTTCTCTTTCTAAGCAGATTAATCCTGGTCCTTAATTAATCTTGTTATTATGCCATCTGAAATGACGATTTTAATTTTTTAGCAGTCTGTACTTACTTACATTGTGTCAC